TTTTTTTTTTTATTATTTTTTTTTTTTTTTTTTTTTTTTTTTGTTTCTCCCTTTATTTTAGAATTCAAAAGAGCTTAAAAAAAAAAGGTTAACTACCAAAGGGGAACCGCCCTAACCTACCCATTTTCCCCCAAAAGCCTAAAAAATTTTTTAAACACCCCTAACAACCCGGGGCCCGCCCCCTTTTTTTTTGGGCGGGAGGGGGGGGGGGGAGGAATGACAGCTACCAATTATGTACAGCAATGTATAGCCACCATGCTGATCTTTTAAAAATACATTTATTTTATTAAACTGAAGTGGCAGTATGGTTGAATTTTTGTTGGAAAATAGGATATATAGCGACAGAGCAACTCCAGGGTAAAATGGAATCTAATTGTTTCATTAAAAAAAGAAGAAGAAAAACTAACACTAGCCTCGTAGGGGAAAATGTACTGTAGATTTGTTCGAAGAATAAATTCATCCAGACCCTGAGATAAGGAGGGGGCCCGGTTTAAAAAAAATTTATTTTTCGGCCTTTCGGGCCTCAGTTTGGCCTGGGGGGACTGAAGATTTTCTCTTACCCTTCTGGCCTGGCCTCTCCTCTATGTTTAAAGGAACTGTGTCACGAAATTTATCAAAATTCAAACCAAGGTAACTGCCACCGAACTGAGTGAAACATTAAAATAACCGCTCAAAAAGTTAGAAGAAAGTATAAATGACACAGTAAATACAAAAGGAAGCACGCATGGACAAACTTTAAGAAGATTGAAACGGATTGCAATTTTGGATTTTGAAAACTTGTTAGTCTAACAGTTTTTCAAAGTTCATTTTTGTGGTTTGTGGCAATTGATATAATGCTTGGAAGACAAATTTTGTTCGACAAAAAGCTGTAATTTGTCATTCTCCGGTAATTTCTCAAGTTTCATAGCGAATGAGGAAGCGCAACTGGCACTATAAAGAAACTGGATGAACTAGCCAACCGTAAGCCCCTTTCAGTACCCCCAGCAGGCCATACCTTAGTTATATAATTCGCCTGTTGTCGAATACACGTGCAAAAAAAGAGACAAAAAAACGACAAAAGAACGGTTCACTGTCTAACGTTTATTTTATTGTTTGTAATTGAAGGACAGCTCTTAATTTCCTTTTAGGCTTTTCAATACCTTCTTCCGGCTTATCCTACGGAAAGAGAAGAGAAACACAAAGGGAATTTAAAATACGACCCATTACTGATATCGTGCCTTACAATTTGAAGTAAAAGCAAGTCAACTTTTTTGGTCAACATTTTTTCAGTGAAGCGGCCAGCTAGGCTAGCCTGAATTTCATCCGATTGCTTCGAGTCGTTTTCTCCTCTCAACAACTGAGGGAGTAATAACGACTCGAAGTAATCGGATGAAATTCAGGCTACCAGCTAGGCCAGCTAGAGTTTTTCCCTGCCGTTTTTGAGTCATTCTTTTCTGACTCTCTAAGGTGGAGAACTCTTCGGACCAAGTCATAAAATAATTGATTTAGTCACCGAAACATGCAGGCTTCCGCGGGAATTTTCCTTTTTTTTTTCTAGAGTCAAATACTCACCTACAACATGAGTCTTCTTCTGTATCGCTTGTATTTGCTCCTGACTCAAGGCTTTGTCGTATACCTGCATCTGAGCGATCCTTCCCTTAAAGTGCCTCTCGTCACCGATCTTTGCTCCCATCCTGATGCTGTCCTGAGTGGCTAGGTCCAGTCCTATTCCAATGTTCAGAGTCTGAACNTCAGTACCCCCAGCAGGCCATACCTTAGTTATATAATTCGCCTGTTGTCGAATACACGTGCAAAAAAAGAGACAAAAAAACGACAAAAGAACGGTTCACTGTCTAACGTTTATTTTATTGTTTGTAATTGAAGGACAGCTCTTAATTTCCTTTTAGGCTTTTCAATACCTTCTTCCGGCTTATCCTACGGAAAGAGAAGAGAAACACAAAGGGAATTTAAAATACGACCCATTACTGATATCGTGCCTTACAATTTGAAGTAAAAGCAAGTCAACTTTTTTGGTCAACATTTTTTCAGTGAAGCGGCCAGCTAGGCTAGCCTGAATTTCATCCGATTGCTTCGAGTCGTTTTCTCCTCTCAACAACTGAGGGAGTAATAACGACTCGAAGTAATCGGATGAAATTCAGGCTACCAGCTAGGCCAGCTAGAGTTTTTCCCTGCCGTTTTTGAGTCATTCTTTTCTGACTCTCTAAGGTGGAGAACTCTTCGGACCAAGTCATAAAATAATTGATTTAGTCACCGAAACATGCAGGCTTCCGCGGGAATTTTCCTTTTTTTTTTCTAGAGTCAAATACTCACCTACAACATGAGTCTTCTTCTGTATCGCTTGTATTTGCTCCTGACTCAAGGCTTTGTCGTATACCTGCATCTGAGCGATCCTTCCCTTAAAGTGCCTCTCGTCACCGATCTTTGCTCCCATCCTGATGCTGTCCTGAGTGGCTAGGTCCAGTCCTATTCCAATGTTCAGAGTCTGAACCACGGCTCCATTCACCCACAGTTTTGCATTACCGGTAGCGCGTTCGTACGATGCACCAACAAACTTCCATCCACCCGCCAGAGCAGTGTGTATTAGGGCGATGGTGAATGAATAATCACGTATTGTGAAACGAACAAAAAGTTTGCCGGCTACCACCCAAAGATGTACTCCCCAGGGTCCGCCGGTCTTGTAATTGAAGAGAGGTCCGTCTTGGCCATTGTGGTACACCCAACAAAGCATTGTCATGGATGAGTAACGAACGTCTAACGGTCCCCCGGCGCTGTTAGGAAACTCGATATAGCTATTGGACGTTCCAGAAAATTTGTAGGAGCCGTCCGCTTCCCCGTTGGGCCCGGGAGCTAAAGTGACGCCAGTAGGGACCCCTTGGGCTACTCTGTTTTTGATTTCCTTGGTACCAAAAGCAGAATTGAGAGGAAACAGGGCAACAGGATTTGGAACTTGATAAAATCGAAACAAAACATTAGTACCGGCTTGACTTGTGTCTACACAGGAAGAGAAGTTGTCAAAAGAAGGGGGAAAAAACCTTTGAATTTTGTACATGTCATCTGTGAAAAGCTGTGCTTTAGACCAGTCTCCTAAAGACTCTCTCAGGTATGGGACCCCTTTTATCTTGCCTTAGAATTGTTTTTTATTTAACCCGCGATTTGGCATCTTCTCCTTTCACTCACTTTGGAGTGAACTGAAGCTTAGTTGCAGACTAAGGATCCCACTCAACAGCCCATATTATTATTCGTCCTCGAAACTACAACCAGTTGCAAAAGTACTTGAGACACTGTACCGTATTTTGGCATAAATGGCCTGTCCATGATCTTGTGCTTGTGATCCCCCCTCCACCCCTTATCAAAGTTGCTAGCAATACAAGACCATACTCAAAAGTTGGAGGAACAACTTTGAATGGGAGGGAGGAGGGAGGTCAGTATTATATTTTACAGACCTGTGACCAGGAGCGATTTGAAGCAAGAAAGATCGTTTTTCCGTGGGAGTGTCTCAACATTTTTGCAACTGGTTGTAGCTTGTAGTCGAGGTTAGTGATAGCAAACATCCGTTTTTTATAAATTGCTCCATCATACTAAAAGCACGTTGACATCAAAAGTCTAATGGGTCGTCAGTGTCTAGAAGGCGTTTGATGAAATTCGTTGGTCACGGAAAGCCTTCATCACTCTACTTTCCGTCGCACACTGACACAATAGAAACCGGAACAGTGCCCTTATTCAGAAAATTTGTGAACAAGGATAAATGCCATCTTCATCTTGTTCTCTTCCACCCATTTTCCTAATTGACAGTGGACCCCGGGGTACTCCATATAATGGCCTATGCTGGGAGGCTCCGCCCAAAATGGTTACCTTTTTCAGAGTTCACTTTCTTCAGCGAATCAAGAGTACCAAAAGCAGCGAAGGAACTGTAACATACTTTAGATCTCAAGCTGACAATTGTTTAGTTTCTACGCCACTTCACTCAATCTGAACTTTCAGAAAGACCTGAGATAGCGACCAACATGACGGCCATTTTGAATGACGTGGAATCTTAGTTTCACTGTCCTTGTTCACGAATTAGGGTAATTTTTCGAATGTGTGTGTGGATGGTCTCTTTCACACTGTGAGAGCTCCAGTGTGACCAGCGTACCACTTCTCTTCAATTTCAACACACGCTTGAGCGTCGCTGATCTCCCGCTGAATTTTTTGTAAGAACACTTTATCTCTAATTTAGTGTTTCTCAAAAGAGTTGTTTTATCAAATTTTGCAAATTACCTAAATCACAAAATACTTCTGTGGAACGTTTTTTCCAGTTGGTCACATACTCACCTACAACTCGACGGGAGAATTCCTGTATCGCAAACATTTCCTCCTGATTTAAGGCCTTGTCGTATACCTGCATCTGAGCGATCCTTCCCTTAAAGTACCTCCCATCACCAATCTTTGCTCCCATTCTGATGCTGTTCTGAGTGGCTAGGTTCAGTCCTGCTCCAATGTTCAGAGTCTGAACCACGGCTCCATTCACCCACAGTTTTGCATTACCGGTACCACGGTCGTACGATGCGCCAACAAACTTCCATCCACCCGCTAAAGCGGTGTGCTGAAGGGCGGTAGTGAATGAGTAATCACGTTTTGTGAAACGAACAAAAAGTTTGCCGGCCACCACCCAAAGATGTACTCCCCAGGGCCCGCCGGTCTTGTAATTGAAGAGAGGCCCGTCTTGGCTATTGTGGTACACCCAACAAAGCATCGTCATGGAGTGAAGAACGTCCAACGGTCCCTCGGCGCTGTTAGGAATCTCGATGTAGCTATAGGAAGTTCCATAAAATTCGTAGGAGCCGTCCTTTTCCCCGTTGGGCCCGGGAGCTAAATTAACTCCACTAGGGACCACATTGGCTACCCTGTTGTTGATTTCATTGGTACCATAGGCGGCATTGAGGGGAAACAGTGCAACAGGATATGGAACTTAAAAAAACAAAGAGAAA